TATATTTGTAGTTCTCAAAGTGGGGGTCCATGTGTTGTGAGTACTGTGTGATGTACAGCAGACTGAGGTCCACTATTGCTCTCTCGTCTGTGTTGGTTCATCCTCTTGTTTCTCCAATGTAGCGCTCACTGTATTCAAAATAAATGGAGTAGACGACATTCCAGAGTAGTTTCAGTGTAGTTCAGTTCAGTGTCCACCAGACTTTTGACCAGAACTGAAGAAGCAGCTTGGATGAACTGCGAAAAGTGTCTGACCGAAACAAACTTTTGTCCGGTTCACACATTTTAATTTCTCTTTTTGCCATGGATTCTACCCGGACGACTGAGGGACTGTACATACATCATGTGTCTGGAACAAAACACAACTCCAGGTCTGTTTGTGATGAGGAACCATCATTATAACATATCAAAATAGCGTAATATGGACCTTTTAAGATAACACAGTCCATTAGCGTTGCCATTTAACCACGTCGCTGCAGTTAAGCACACTGAAAATCTTGTAAAGTGACTCTCCAGATGGTTTGGAGAAAGAAAGCATTTAGCTGCTTGTAGAAGAAATAACAATGGGACCCAGGGGGGAGGGTCCGTGGTGAGTTCAAAGGTGCTCTGTAAAAACGAAAATGCTGTGATTTGCCTTTAACTTGCACTGAATGATGTCTGTAAACAGTAGTAGATTATAAGGCCATTGCTTCACCATCTGGGAGGAGGCTTCAGAGAATAATCAGGGGGACTGGTCATAAAGGTTTGAAAGGAGGAAAAACAGGGCCCCAGATAAACAGTAAGGCCAAGGCAAAGATGATAAAATTATATTGTGTACACGGTGAGGACTTGACATGACCATAAAACGTTGCATATTTTGAGTTTCGTGGGTTCGACCTGTGCTTGCACTCAGGGAAAAGTGTGTAGTTTTCATACAACAGAAGTAAATACTTGGTAGCAATTAGAAGTAGTAGTCATAGTAGTAGCTGTTGTAGTTGTAGCAGTAGTAGCAGTAGTAGTGGCAGTAGTAGTAGTAGTAGTAGTAGTAGTAGTAGTAGTAGAGGTAGTATCTGCAGTAGTGGTAATAGTAGTAGTAGTAATAAAAGTAACAGTAATAGTAGCAGCAGCAGCAGTGGAAGTAGTAGTAGCAGTAGTAGGCGTAGCATCTGTAGTACTGTAGTACAGAAGCAGTAGTAGTAGTAGTAGAAGTAGCAGCAGTAGCAACACCAGCAGTAGTAGTAGCAGCAATAGTATAGTAGTATATATAGTAGTACCTGTAGTGGTGGTGGTAGTAGTAGTAGTAGTAGAAGTAGTAGTAGTAGTAGTAGTGGTAGTAGTAATAGTAGTAGTAGTACTAGAGGTAGTATCTGCAGTAGTGGTAGTAGCAGTAGTAGTAATAAAAGTAACAGGAGTAGTAGTAGTAGCAGTAGTAGCAGTAGTATTAGTAGTAATATTATCTGTAGTAGTGGTAGTAGCAGTAGCAGTAGTAGTAGTGGCAGTAGTAGTAGGAGTAGTAGTAGTAGTAGTAGTAGTAGTAGTAGTAGTAGTAGTAGTAGTAGTAGTAGTAGTGGCAGTAGTAGTAGTAGTAGTAGTAGTAGTAGTAGTAGAGGTAGTATCTGCAGTAGTGGTAATAGCAGCAGTAGTAATAAAAGTAACAGTAATAATAGTAGCAGCAGCAGAAGTAGTAGTAGCAACAGTAGTAGTAGTAGTATGAGTATCTGTAGTGGTGGTAGTAGCAGTAGCAGTAGTAGTAGTAGTAGTAGTAGTAGTAGTAGTAGTAGTAGTAGTAGTAGTAGTAGTAGTAGCAGCAGTAGTAGCAGTAGTAGCGTAGCAGTAGTAGTAGTAGCAGTAGTAGTAGTAGTAGCAGTAGCAGTAGTAGTAGTAGTAGTAGTAGTAGCAGTAGTAGCAGTAGTAGTAGTAGTAGTAGCAGCAGTAGTAGCAGTAGCAGTAGTAGTAGTAGTATTAGTAGTTAGTAGTAGTAGTAGTAGTAGTAGTAGTAGTAGTAGTAGTAGTAGCAGTAGTAGTAGTAGTAGTAGTAGTAGTAGTAGCAGTAGTAGTAGTAGCAGTAGTAGCAGTAGTAGTAGTAGTAGCAGTAGTAGTAGTAGTAGTAGCAGCAGTAGTAGCAGTAGCAGTAGTAGTAGTAGTAGTAGTAGTAGTTAGTATTAGTAGTAGTAGTAGTAGCAGCAGTAGCAGCAGTAGCAGTAGCAGTAGCAGTATTTGAGATTTCTGTTTACTCAGTCCATTTAAATATATTGCCATTGGGGTTTTGGGCAACATGACAAAACCTCCCAATGTTTTGCATATTGGACAATCATATGTTTCGATTCATTTGTGCTAAAAACAAATAAAATCGTCCAATTTCTTCCCCTCAAGTCTAAACTCTGCTCCAAACCACACGCTTTTTTTCTGACAGAAATTTGGCTGTCGACTTCTCCAACACAAGGATCAGAAATGTGTCAGTCTGGTTTGAAAGTTGATTAAAAAAGCATACTTACAATTGAAGCTGGAGAATAGGCTTGAGAGACAGATTTTTAATTCATTTTTATTAATTTTTTACCACTTTTTACCAAGTTTTGCTGGAGGTTGGATGACAAATTGGTCTGAACACAGCGTCATGAGTCATGCCCAATCACAGATAATTATTTTTATTTTTATTATACTTGGGGGTTAGGGTGGTATAAGTCACAGGGGCATGGTGGGGTAGTAGGTGATAAAGGTGAAATAAATGCCTCTGAAATGTTGTATATATGTGCGCTTTATTGTTGGCGCAAGGGTCAGATTTCCCCTTTTGATCACATTGTACTTTACCATGAAATATCCAAAGGGTAAACTCACAAATGCTGAATCTGGTATTTTCACTCAGACTACAGCCTGAAGTGACCCAAATCTGATTTTTTCGCCCCTATGTGACCTGTATCTGATCTTTTAATGACACAGATCAGATTTTTTCAAATGCGACCCAGGACACTTGGATATGTGCTCCTAAAACCGATACATTTCTGATCTTTTGACATACGACTTCAGTCTGAACGGCCAGGTCACATTCATCCCACCTACACACTCACAAATGTACACAAAATGTTCTTCTAGTCATACGAAAATTGTGTCTAAACTCCGTGCGAGTGAAGCGTCGAAGCACAACGTAATCCCACCACTCTTGGCTGCGATTCTGCACCCGCATGTTTCTTTTCTATGGACGTCGCTGCCGCTGCCCCACAAAACACCACGGCCAAAAACCTCGTCCTTCTCCTTCTCAATCTCCTCCTTAAAACAAGTAAGTTGTTCATGTTCTGGCTCCGGTACGAGAGGAACTTTAAAATCTCCAGGTGCTCAAAGTCACGATGATGTTTAGGCAACTTCCGTAAACACTGAATCGCTCGCTGCGGTTGACGTCATCATGTCCTCCAACGTGCATGCAGGACACTTTTGGGGCGTTTAAAGTTCACACTGGAGATCACATTCAAGTCGCATTTAATGGGAAATGTGAATGACCTCAGATTTAACAAAAAAATCCAAATTGAGCATTAAGCCCTGCAGTATGAACGTAGCCTTAGAGCAGTTTTGCGATATATAAAACATAAGCACATCGTAATCCCACCACTCTTGGCTGCGATTCTGCACCCGCACGTTTCTTTTCTATGGACATTGCTGCCACTGCCTCACAAAAACCTCGTCCTTCTCCTTCTCAATCTCCTCCTTAAAACAAGTAAGTTGTTCATGTTCTGGCTCTGGTACGAGAGGAACTTTAAAATCTCCAGGTGCTCAATGCTGCGTCCATGTTCGTTCGCTCATGTGACGACGTCGTGTCCTCCAGTGCTCATGCGGGACACTTTTGAATCCGTGTATCATTCGTTCATTCGTTTTTCAATATAAAACCAAAAATAAGAAAATGAAAAAACAACAGTTTTCTTCGTTATTTGTCTCCAAAACCAAAATGAAAAAACGGATAATGATTCGTTTTTTCAGTTTTCGATTTTGTGTTTAAATGAAGAATGGAAAAAACGGATAACGGCCGTTTCCCGTTTACGTGACTTCCGTGACTGCGATGCCGAACTTTTGCACCTCGTACGGACTGAACCAGGACTGATCCAGGTCCGAGACCAGAGCGGGATCAGAGCGGAACTGAGACCGAGACCAGCGGTCCGAGCGGTTCCGTGTCATCGTCTCCGCGCTGGTTCCGTGCGGGGAAAGTGAGAATGTTCTGTGGACTACAGGTCCGGACGGGCTGCTCCAGAACCGCGGCTGGTTCCGAGGTGGTGCAAAGCATCCAACTGACGCTTTCACACCAACGAAAACGAACCGAACTAAGAGCTTTTGGTTCAAATGGACCAGGGTCCGGGACCAGACCGGGACCAGAGCGGGCCTGAGACAGAGACAAGACCGAGACAAGACCGGAGACCAGATTGGCAGGAGCTGGAGCTGAGGCTTGGACCCCGCGGAGGCTCAGAGTCAAAGCTTGGAGTCCGCCCCAGTCCTGCTCTGGTCCTGGTCTGGTCCCGCTCTGGTCCCGCTCTGGTCCCGGTCTGGTCTCGGACCTGGATCAGTCCTAGTTCAGTCCGTACCCGGTGCAAAAGTTCGGCATCGCAGTCACGGAAGTCACGTAAACGGGAAACGGCCGTTATCCGTTTTTTCCATTCTTCATTTAAACACAAAATCGAAAACTGAAAAAACGAATCGTTATCCGTTTTTTCATTTTGGTTTTGGAGACAAATAGCGAAGAAAACTGTTGTTTTTTCGTTTTCTTATTTTTGGTTTTATATTGAAAAACGAATGAACGAATGATACACGGATTCTTTTGGGGCGTTTAAAGTTCACACTGGAGATCACACAAGTCGCATTTAATTGGAAATGTGAATGACCTCGCAAAAAAAATCAGTTTTAACGAAAAAATCCAAATTGAGCATTAAGCCCTGCAGTCGGAACGTAGCCTTTTAATTTAGCTGTGCCCATCTGTATTCATTCATATTGTCCTACACCATGCATTAGTGTTGTCAGATCAGTTACATAAGGAGAAAGACTCACCATGACGATGCCCCCGGACTGCTCGGCTGTGCACATGCTCATGATCGGAGCCATGCCAATGGTGGTGCCCTGGAAGTACACCCCACTGAGGAAACACACAGGTGGGACACACAACAATGTAAGATATCAGGGGAAATTCTACAGGACTGTGAGGAAATAATAAAACAATATAACGGTTACAGAATTACTGTGACGTTATAAAGTACTTATGACTGGGCTTTATCAATAATACGGATATTAACGATTATGGAAAAAAATCATTATCACAATTATTCTGGTCAATACTGAAATCACGATTATTTAAACAATTATTTTTTAGTTACACAATGAATTTATTCAGCATTTCTCTCTCTCAAAAAAAACAAAACAAAAACACTTAATCATTGATAATTTATGCAAAACTTCCAAATTGAAAATAAATACAGGCAGTTTTGCGATGTATAAATCATAAAATGAATAAATGTATCCAAAATAAACTACATATCCAGCTCTTCTACAATCACTATATTTAAAAAAAAACTAACTAAATATACAAAAAATATCCCAAAATGAACTTTGTTAAGCTTTATCGTTTGAATTCGACTCTATGAAGTTGGAGGTTGACACACAAATCGAAATCGTGATCAAAATGAAGTTAATTGCACAGCCTTAATGTGTCCAATTTTAGGATTAAACAACCTCAATAATGTCTGTTTTGCTTGGGCACGGTTCTAAAGCCCGAGTGTGAGAGCACCCTTAGTTTTAATTTTGGGAAATTGATTGACATAAATGAAAAACATATGAAATAGAAAAAGGAAATAGAAAAAACAAATCCGATTGATTCAGGTATGGTCATGTAAACATACTCTACTCTTTTAAATATGCCAGACAAGCATGAGTAGCAAACAAGAGTATGACTTTTTGGACAAATCTGGATAATTTGTATAAACATTTTTATTTTTTCCAGTAGACACACTTCATAATGACATGACCATCACTGCTATCAGTTAAATATAGGCTCTGCAGCACGTCTGCTGACAAGGACCAGGAAGCGAGAGCACATCACCCCAGTACTGAAGTCTCTGCACTGGCTTCCTGTGAGCTTCAGGATAGATTTTAAAGTTCTTTTATTAGTTTATAAAGCTCTTAATGGTCTTAGTCCTATTTATTTATCTGATCTGCTTTTATCATATGAGCCTCTCGGACTCTCAGGTCCTCAGGTAGTCGTCTTTTAACTGTCCCAAGAGTCCAGACTAAAACTCACGGTGAGGCGTCATTCAGCTTTTATGGCCCCTGTTTGTGGAACAGTCGACCTGAGGATCTGAGGTCCGCTGCGAGTGTTCATATTTTTAAAAGTAAACTCAAAACATATCTTTTTAATTTAGCTTTTAATTGAAACTTTTATCTGTCTTAACTTAAATTATTATTATTATTATTATATTATTTATTCTAAATTAAATTATCATTACTGTTTTACTTTGTCTCCATTTGATTTTAGCTCTCCATTTTGATTTTTATGATAACCTTTAGGAGTTTTATGTTTTTGTTTTTATGTTTATGTTTAAATGGTTGTATATATGGATGAAACAATGGGATGGGGGGTTGCTCTTGATTTTAATTATTGTATTGTAATTTTTCTGTTGCATGTGAAGCACTTTGTGCTACATTTCAAATGTATGAAAAGTGCTATACAAATAAAGTTTGATTGATTGATTGATTGATACTTCAAGTCTTTTTTAATACCTGATGAGCTGTGCGTTGTCGTGCGGTTTCAGAGGCAGGAGTTTGACTTTTCTCCAATCTAAAAACTCGTGCAGGGTGGTGAACGGGTCCTGGGTGATGGGGCATTTATCCACGTCGCTCCAAACCTCCAGCCCGACAAGAGCCACGCGGATGTTCAGAGCCCGGTAGAACTGCGGAGACAGGAGTTTAAAATAGTTAAGAAAATGTACAAAAAAAAAATAAATACACAAAGAGCAAAAACAACGTGTGAAAATGTGGAAGCTGTATTTTTGAAAAGAAAGAAAAAGTATTTGTAAACAGAGACAAGTAACATATAAGAAAAAACTGGCTCTGTTCGTTACCTTGTCGACGTAGTTGGCGATCTCAGCCAGCCTCTGTTTGACCCTCTCCACGTCTTTGCCTTGTTTCTGAAACTGAGATTAGAAGGTAAAGATAAGAGAGAAGCTAAGCCAGATGTTTAAGCGTGAATCACTAAACATAAAAAAAGAAAATGACAAAAAGAAAAAAAAAAGAAAAATCAGATCTACATATCAGTTAAAATTGTTGAGTCTACACATTGCAACATTAAATAAATAAAAAATAATAATGTACAGAAAAATATGGGATGTATCTTGTATATCCAGTTTTACACAAAATATCTCCCAGTTGTGTTTTGTTTTTTTTCACATGTTTAACAAACAAATCCTGCATCTTTAGAATCATTTGGATAATTTCAGCCCTGAAATTGCCTCTGTCTACTAAACAGAAGGTAAAAGGTGGCTGTTAACTTGAAAACTACTGTGTCATGACATCACAAAGTGGAACAAACTAAGGCTGTGCAACTAATAAAAATTTTGATTGTGATTCCGATTTGTGTGTTAAATGATCTCCAAACTCGTATAATCGATTTGAAACGATACAGCTTAACATTTGTTTAGATTATTTTGGGATGTTTTTTAATATAAATATAGTATATTTATTTTATTTTTTAATACAGAGATTGTAGACCAGCTGGATATATAGTTTTTTTTGGATTCATTTATGTTTTTCTATGCCTTATTTCATGTTCAAAGTATATTTTATTCATTTTATGTTTAATGCATCACAAAACTGCTCTAAGGCTACGTTCAGACTGCAGGGCTTAATGCTCAATTCTGAAATCTAGTTGTTGTTTTTTTGCGAGGTTGTTCACATTTCCAATTAAATGTGTCTTGTATGTGATCTCCAGTGTGAATTTTAAACACCCCAAAAGTGTCTCGCATGAGCACTGGAGAACACAACGGCGTCACACACAGCGAACGTGCTCAGTGTTTACGGAAGTCACCTAAACATAGATGTGAGCACTGAGCACCTGGTGATTTTAAAGTTCCTGTCATAAGTTTGTTTTAAGGAGGAGACTGAGAAGGAGAAGGACGAGGTTTTTAGTCATGGCGTTTTGTGGGGCAGCGGCAGCGACGTCCGGAGAAAGGAACGTGTGGGTGCGGAGTCGCAGCCAAAAGTGGTGGGATTGTTATGTGCTTCACTGCTTCACTCACACGGAGTTCAGACACAATTTTCATATGACAAGAAGAACGTTTGTGTACATTTGCGAGTGTGTAGGTGGGATGAATGTGACCTGACCGTTCAGACTGAAGTCACATGTATCAGTTTTAGGAGCACATATCCAAGTGGCCTGGGTCGCATTTGAAAACTAGAAAAGCACTCAGAGAGCGCAGACCTCCGCCAAGGACTACCCCCATTTTTTATATAAATTGCGATAAAATCAGTCCTCTGGATCAGATCCGGATCAGCCTTTGGAATATGAAAGAGGATCCCATTGTCCATCCCTGAGTCAAATTTCATGGGGTTTGGTCAATAATTAACCGAGATATTGAGAAACAAAATTTTTGGCCCCATTTACCACAATGTTAACTAAAATTTCAAAGTGATCCAGAATCCAGGATTTCTTCCGGATCACCCCCAAAATGAAATCAGTTCTTCCTTTTCACATTTCCAACAAATCCTGAAAATTTCATCAAAATCGGTCCATAACTTTTTGAGTTATGTTGCTAACAGACAAACAAACAAACAAACAAACAAACGCCGGGAAAAAACATAACCTCCTTGGCAGAGGTAAAAATCGGATCTGTTTTGTCATTAAAAGATCAGATACAGGTCGCATAGGGGCGAAAAAAAAAATCAGATTTGGGTCACTTCAGGCTGCAGTCTGAACGTAGACATAGATACATATTTGTAGTCTATATTTATTTTCAATTTGAAAGTTTTGCGTCAATTATCAGTAACAACGTGTTTATTTTTTGAGAGAGAAATGCTGAATAAATGCCATTGTGTAACTAAAAAATAATCGTTTGAATAATTGTGATTTCAATATTGATCAAAATAATCGTGATAATGACTTTTTCCATAACCGAGTAGCCCTAGAAAAGAGCACATGAGCTCTGGGGATGTAGATAAACTAGTAATAAACGATTACTCAAACATGTGTGAATGAAACAAAACACAACTCCGGGTCTGTTTTTGATGAAGAAACTAAATTCTACCTCAACTTAACCCTCACAAGAGTCAATTTTGTGCAATATAAGACCTTTGAGTTTTTATTTTAATGCCAGGTTTCTGTATCTCAAACCCACACCTAAAAGAAATCGAATCATATACAGCCCCAGCCTTTAGAAGTACAAGCAAAAGCATCTCTACCTTTAAACCCCAAGCTATACCTTCAAAAAGGGAAAGTGCAGTGTAGTGTATGTTTTATGGTCAGCAGATATCGGTATCTTTAGGCTGTGGTAAGTTCAAATGTTCAAAGTCTTTTCATGGAGGTGTACGTTGCCGTGGAGATAACCCCAAAACCTGGAAGATGTTCGCTTTGAGGACGGCTTAAAGGGGAGACACTGGGCTCGTCTACGTGTGTGCCTATTTAGGATCTGCTGGCTGGGAAAGTCAGATAGGAACAACTTCAAAAGACAGTCCATGTGAAATTCTAATGGTTTTACAGTACGTGTTTAGCCTATAAGATGCTGATAAAGATATTCCTGGCATTAAATACATGGGTGATATGCAAATAAATGATGATCTGCAATTGCTATTAAAGGGCTCATATACTACACTATTTTCTTATCATTGTTGTAATTATAATGTTGTGTTTTGTTTCATTCACACGTGTTCCTCTCTCAAACAGAAAACACAAACTCCATAAACGTTCACTGGAATTTCCAATCTCTACTAAACAAAAAGTAAAAGGCAGCTGTTAACTTAAAAGTTACCACTATATACGACATCACAAGGTGAACAGAGCATTTTGAGCTTTGGAGAAGCAGACAGATTAATATTAAAAGGTTGCTCAAACATGTGTGAGTGCAAGAAAACACAGTTCCGGGTATGTAACAACATTCTGTGTGGCCATTACCGGCTTGTCAAAGTCTGATCCCGTTAGATCTCAGAAGCTAAGCAGGGCTGGGCCTGGTCAGTACTTGGATGGGAGACCACTGGGAAAATCAGGTTCCACAAGGGGGCGCCAGTCATAAAAAAACTGTTGTTGTGTCCTTAGACAAGGCACTTCACCCTCATTGTCTAGTATGAAAGTGGTGTGTGTGTGTGAGTGTTGGTGGTGGTCGAAGGGGCCGATGCCGCAGATTGGCAGCCTTGCTTCCGTCAGTCTGCCCCAGGGCAACTGTGACTACAGCAGTATTTACCACCACCGGGTATGGAGTGAATGAATAATGCTCTGTAAAGTGTCTTTGAGTGTTCAAAAAAGCGCTGTATAAAACTGATGCATCGTTCTAACATAGTTTCTAAACTGAACATCCAAGAAACTTTTTAAAAGGTGCAGCTTTTCTGATAACGGGTCCGCCAACCTCCTTGTCTCCATGGAGATATTATTGAGTGCGTATACATGCACATCAGTATCCCGTTTATTAGCCATACCCCGGTTTATGTCAGTATTCGGGTTACTGCGTATACATGCGCACTGAGAAACCGGGACACTCATATCCGCGTATACATGATCAAATGGAGTATCCCGGTTTCTTGACATAATCTTACAAATGCGCAGGCACAAAAATTAACTTAAATCAATTTCATAAACCAGGAAAAATACAAACCATGAGCTCCTTTAGCATAAGAAGCTAAGGAGCTACGAGATCTCCCACAATCCACTGTGCAGATTCTTCATTAAAATCTTCTGCATAAATAAACTCAACTTTACAACATATAAACCATAAACACTATAGACACATCAGCCCGTTTGATCAGATCATTCAGCTGTGATCACATTTGTTTATGTTTTACAGAAACAAAACTTAAGACTGTTTGGCTTTTTAGCATAAACTGTTAGCGGCGATAAAAACAACTCGCTCCTTGCGCCGCTGATGCGATCAGTTTCTTTTGGACTAAATGACACGACTCTGTGGATTATGTGTGTTATTTCTGTGACAGAAGAGGCGCTAATGATGGTAAGTGTGTTCCGTGCATATAGAGTATAGGAGATAGTTCATGTTTTAGCTTTTCAGCGTCACACGAGTGCAGGTCGTACGAGTGCAGATTGTACGTGTGCAGGTTTAGCGCAGCTCTTTATTTTACAGTCATTTCACTCGTTTGGTCACTTTATTTATGTTGGTCAATTTATTTATGTGACTACTGTTGTGGTGAAAGGCTGGAAAGTGTCTTTTGGACGCATGCGCACTCAACTTTATGTTGCAGTAACCGGGGATACTGCGTATACATGCCACAAGTAACCCGGTTACTATCGGAATAAACCAGCTACAGTAACCCGGTTTCTAATAACCGGGATACTGCCATAACCGGGTTACTGAAACCAGGGTACTGCGTTTACATGCACCATCAAGAAACCGGGATACTCAAAAAACCTGATCATAACCGGGTTATTGATGTGCATGTATACACACGCACTCATTGATTTTAGTAAAATGTGTAAGCACAGCCAGAATTAATACATAAGACGCACTGTCGATTTTTCAGAAAATGAAAGGATTTTAAGTGCGCCTTATACTGTGCCAGTATCTTTTATTATATCAGAGAGTCAGTCATTGTACAGCTGCAATGTTCATGAGAAGAACAAAAGCAAAATCTGTTGTAAAATTTATTGAAACCTTTCACCCTGCACATAAGTACTTAGTTTTTTTAGACTATTAGCTAAACTCCTGCATGTTTATGTTTGTGTATTGCTGTTATAAGCTATTAACGATTTAGGTAATTTAAAGTTTACATTTAAAGCTATAATTCTGTAATACCATATTTTACACTGTGTTTTTTTGTAGTAAGACCGTTACTAGGTCCTAAACGTACTGTATTTAAGTATATGAACAAAAATTATACATGTAAATATAGTTAAAATGCTAGTTTTCATAAGAGTAATAGTTAAAAGGTGCACTACATGACATCTTTTTAGAGGGTTCGCCACCTGCTTGTCTCTATTTATGAAAAAAATCTGATACGAATAGATAATACAGTTGTTATCTCCACTAAAATGACCTTAAACTGTATCAGAACAAGCTGTAAAATTCATTCAGACCTTATACCTTGCACGAACATATAAGTATTTTGTTTTTACCTCTCTGTTGTCGGCGACGATGATGAGCTCCACGTACTTGGTGGTGGTCTGGGCATGGCGTTTGTTCTGAAGAAGAAGAAGACAAGATTCAAGTGTGATGAAGGTGAAAGTACAAGAGCCCGTAGAGGACACACTTCAATGTCCCTCTGGGAAAAACACAGGAGAAACTTAGCTGTGTAAAACCACTCAGAGCAGGTGAGGCGCTCGGCTGTGAGGGAGAGAATCAGCACAAAACAATCAAATACAATTCAGACAAGTGGAAAAGACAAGGTTAGACATGGTGCTTTTGTGTGGTACATTCGAAATAAAACCTTCATAGAGAGGGATCCGTCCAATCAGATTTGTTTATTTCAGTTACACGTGTCTAACAAAGCAGCTCATTGGTCACGTATAATTTAGAGTTCAGTACTACGCTCATTGATTCTGCATCTTTGAAAAAAATGTTTTTTTCTTTCTTTCTTCTTTTCCTCGTAAGCCGTCGTATTTGTTTTGATCCACTTAGACCGTGAGTGTCCCTGATTGGCTAATCCACCTGTCAATCATGCCAACCTCAAGACTCACATCTCTGTAAAGTCTTAAAGAAGTGCATCTGGACCCCGGCCAACGCTTGTTCATTATTGGTAGTCAAAAAAAAAAAAAAAAAAAAAAAAAAAATATATATATATATATATATATATATATATATATATATATATATATATATATATATATATATATATATATATATATATAGGGTAGGTAAAGTTCCAAGTTCTTCACACTTTCATATTTTTATATATAGCATTTCACATAAAAACAAACATAAAAGTAAGTACTGATTATTGATTTCTTTACGCCTTATTTCTTACTATTTGAACCATGCATTCATCTTCATATGACTTGTATGACTTGAATAAATAAGGTATAACTAGTTTGACTCACTCAGATATTAAAATAGTAAAAGTAACTTGTCTAATTTAAAGGTGAATTGTGTAAATTTTCTGGTGTAGGGTTTGTCAAATTCTTTTCTTCATGAAGATGTTATTGCTTTTTCTGGAATGTTTCCCAGTACGGTGTTAAACCTTTCTATCTTCATGGAGACCAAAACAGATCAAGTTACAGGTCAGATCTGTGGAGAGGCGACTCTGCTCTGCTTAAACACACAGGAGTGTGGCTAATAGTGTAAAAATATATAGTGCAAGTAAATGCAGGTTGGACATTACATCACAAATACAGTATATTTTACTTTTACACACATTTTTTTTACTCTTCCTTTAAATCTAAGCAGGACAGATTTGATGTTTCTACTACCTCGTATATATTTCTTAGCTGTACAAACACAAGTATTTTTGCTGAACTGTCTGTAAGTAGATCATAAAAGATGTTATAGCTACAACACAAATCAAGGCTCGAGCTGTTGAACTGTGTTTTCAGACTGAAAACAATTATTTTTCACAATAATGTCAGTGTTTGCTTTTACTGGAAAAATCTTTAGAGCAGGAGTCACCAAACTTTTTTTCTCTGGGGGGCCACGTTATCGCTCCTGACTGTGACGGAGGTCGGGGTCGGGTCGGTCGTGTAACAGAATTGTATGACTCTGCAGATTATATTCTTAGAAAACCGCCACACTTTGTTTACATATCAGACAAACTGCACGGTCGTTACACTGAACAAAAAATAATCAGTCGTCCACTGTTCTTCGAAAACTCTGCACTCTCTGTCAAGTTTTCACTTACTTGTCACTGTTTGATCACGAGCTTGTCAGGTGATGAAAATTCGGCAGCAAATGTAAATATGTAATGTAATTATTTAAACATAAACATAAATATTTCATATAAATATCATTTTTTTATTGAAAAAATCAACAAAATACAAGATGCACACATGTTATAATTTGCCGAAAAGAAATCTAAAAATGTAGGCCATGACAAGTTTTGAAGATTGCCTCATAGTTCAAGTTGGCAGAGGGGCCGTCAAAGAGGCGTGGAGGGCCAGAGTCAGCCCATGGGCCTGAGTTTGAATGGCCCCTGCTTTAGAGTGTGTGCGGTTTTGTGACCTTGGTTTGTTTTTTGTTTGTATGTATGAGGTAGTAGGGTTCTAAAAAGTATAGAAAATCAGATACTAATCAATAATAAAACTAGTATAGAAAGTAGATACTTATTTGAGCAACTTTCGATACTAAAAAAGTCACGTTCACAGAGTAGAAATGAAGCTTTCCTGAAACTTTAGAATAATTTTGAGCTGTACAAGAACAAGTATAAGAGCACAAAGACGAGTATACACCCACACTGAAAACCTGAACATCCAAAGTAATTAAATAGATTAAGTTGTGTATAGTCAAAGTTTTAGAAATAGTCCAACTAACTTAATTTATCAAGTTGCTGTAACATGTTCTTCTTTTTGACTAATTTTAACTTATATTTTTTAATTAAAGGTTGTATGGAGGATTTTTTTTTGTTTCAAGTTGTCAATGATAGATTATAGATGCAGTAGCCTTGTAATTATGATGACCAAAAAAAAGAGAATAAAAATTCATCAACTCTGGACGTGGTGGGGCTAAACATTTGCCAATAGATAACGACACTGCCTCGTTATCTGTGAGCTGACAGGCTGTCAATCAACTCCCTACGTTTCTAGCGTAACTGACTTGCCTGCGCCGCCGGTACGTGGTTTACGTACGACTGTCACGCAGTCCACAGACGCACAGACGCTGTTTACTCCACCAACGCAACAGTTCTTAGCGGCTTTTTTTTTGACCTATATCTTCCTCGCAGTTCGCACAAAGTTTGTTGCAATGGCGACAAGAATCCAGGAGCAGTTAGCCACAAAAGAAAGTCCGTTTTTGAGGTCGCTGAAAGAAGAAGACAAGGGGAAAAGCAGCGAAGCCAAACTAAGGTGATTCTTGAAGATTCATTCCAGCGATGGCGCGACTGAAGCAGACGCAGGGTCTAAAGACTGACGCACTGGTCCACAAATTACTCCTGGACAGGAAACTTCTGCTTATTATGAAAACGTACTTTTTTTCCAAGAGTTAGACAAACATTTTTCAGGACACGAAAGCGATATCCTATGTCTGAAAACGTAATTTTCAATGCAAAGAAAGAGTCCGCTTGCTGCTGCGTGTTGTAGCTAGTTCATTCGCACTGAATCTCCGCGCAACCTTCTCTGCACCCCTTTCCTGCTCCTGTCCCCGCTGCCCGATCCGCTCTTCTCCCTGCTCCTCACTTCTCGTCCGCGAACGAAATGTCCGCACACACCGCGCTCCCCCGCTCCTCACTTCTCCGTCTTGCCTAACCAACACTGTAGTTAGTTGTTTACAAGTCATGTGCAGCTCACCGGCTGTAAACAAACCTGTTTCTGGCGTAAGGAGGAGGAGGGAGGAGGCGTTTCTACGTAGGAGCTGTAGGGGAGGGGAGGTGGTTTCACGCATGCGCATTTGAAAAAGGACAAACAGTCGCTGGATTTCTCGTTCCTTGGAAAATCCTCTATACAACCTTTAAAGGTATAGTTGTGGGTATAAGTAAGCATAGATGAGGTACAACTTAGCAGACTGAAGTATTTAAACACTGAGAATGATAAAATCCTGTTATTTCTATTGCTTCAAATAAGGGTGATTTAAACATAAATTTAATTTATTTGCAATACAATTTCAAATCGCTTCACCAAATAAGTGAACCTATTCCAGTGGTTTAAAAACTCCCAAACTGAAGTCACGATGAATGAAAATAATTGAGTTGCTTTAACAGAAAACTATGAGTCATGTTAATTATATTGCAAATTTTCGAGTTGAGCTAAATGAGCATTTTTAATTCAGATGTTATTGGAAAAAGTAGCAAGTCATCCAGCCTTTAAATTTCTGGAAGATTGTGACTTTTAAGTTCGCCAACTTAAAATAACTGAGGTAATCGATTGCCTACATTTTTTTTGAGTTCAGGTAAATTATTTGGGTTTACAGTACGTGGTCCATTATCCAACCTACCTGGATCACTGAGGAATTACACAAAAATAAGACCACATGAGAATATAAAAGAAAATACTAGGGTTTGATGTTGAAAATCACATTCTACTGTCTAAATAAAGAGTGTTTTCATTATCATTGTGGTGTTGGAATCAGTATTGAGTGTCTGGTCTATTCCTGAGTATGGAAATCACACTGCAAAACCAAAATTAGTTAAGATGACTTGAATTAAGAAAGTTTTGTCATGATTTGAGAAAATTTCACTTGACATGTAAAATGATCTGCCAGTGGAACAAGACTTTTTAATCCGTGGATCATTTGTTCATTCATTTTTCAACATAAAACCAAAAATAAGAAAACGAAAAAACAACAATTTTCTTCATTATTTGTTAATGAAGATATAAAGGCCGAGTGTAAGAGCACCCTTAGTCATTATTCATTATTTCTTCATTATTTATTTCATTATTAATAAAAGAATAACGATTAATTTTTTCAGTTTTCGATTTTGTGTTTTTTGTGTTTAAATGAATAATGGAAAAAAAAAAGGATATCGGATCCTGTTTCCCGTTTCGTGACTTCCGTGACTACAATGCCGGACATTTGTGCCGCATACGGACTGAACCAGGACTGAATCAGGACTAAAACAGGACTAAACCGTTTTCAGTCCTGGTCTGGTCCCAGTCTCAGTCTTGGTCCCAGTCCTGGTCTGGTCCTGGTCCCGGTCTCAGTCCCGGTCTGGTCCTGGTCTCAGTCACGGTCTGGTCCTGGTCTGGTCTCGGCCTCAATCCTCAGGTCTGGTCTCAGTCTAAGTCCAGTCTGGTTCGGGACCTGGTTTAGTCCTGGTTCAGTCCTGATTCAGTCCGGCATCGCAGTTTAAGTCACGGAAACGGGAACGGTGTTATCCGTTTTTTCCATTTTTCATTTAAACATAAAATCTAAAACTGAAAAAAAAAACAAATCATTATCCTTTTTTTCATTTTGGTTTTGGAGACAAATAATGAAGAAAACTGTTGTTTTTTCGTTTTCTTATTTTTGGTTTTATTTTGAAAAACGAATGAACGAATGATACACAGATTCTTTTTGTACGTAAAATAAGAAAATACATCTTGCCACGCTTAAAATAAGAAAA